ATCCAATAAACAGTTTTAAATAGTTTCAGCAAACGGAGTACGTGGTTTCTGGAAGGTTGAAAATGTGAGATGTCTACAGGCGAACGATGTAGAACGATAGTCTCTATAAAATAACTTGTCTCTTAATCTTCAAGACGATAAATATAATGTTGATAGAATTATTCATTTCGTCTTTATTATACTTTTAAAATTCCCGAGTCACTTCAGGCATCATTATTAAGTGTACCCATATTAGTTTTGTATCATGTATCATTAAATAGTTAAATATAGACTCACTGTGACCTAACAACTCTGTCTATGTAAAAAAAATAAGATGTTAGGGGTTTTAAATAATAAGGTAGAAATCCGTATATATTAAAACAAATACTTATTTGAGAAATTCCGATATTCCCCAACGTATAATATACAAATATATATCTGTACAGAATATTACTGAGCTCATGAATTCCAAAACTAAAATAAAGTAGCAAGTCGTGCAAGTAGTAAGTGATATAATGAAAATAAATTGATGTATTAGTTGTACAGAAGAGGTTATTAAGGTTTACCTGGACTATACAACACACCTGGTCATGTCTCCTCATACAGTCGATCAACAAGTAATGAGGGGAGGGGGGTCCTTATACACCACAAGAGCCCTTTCCGTTTATATAATAAAAAAAAAGTTACTACGGACTTTCTAGATACACAACCTATGGTCAAAATGCAATGGTATCAGATAATTGGGAATTTCAAAAATGCTGAAGTCGGTTACGTAGGACCTAAGGGTGCGTACTTCAGATACTGTGTTATTCCTAAGATACTGAAATTACTCAACATTGTGATGAACTGAGATAAAGGAAAATACTGGTGTTTTTTGTTTATGTTTTGTTTATTGTAATGGTATACTTCTCATCAAGTGTCATAAAACCCACGTTTGAGAATTTGTGAAGCAGTTTGGGTCGATAATGATCTGAACACTTCCCATTCTTAATTGGAGCAAACCATATGAGCTGTCGTCGCTTCAATGTTAATACAATGTGTTGTCCTGTGCCACCCAGGCATTGTTGGATACTTTATGATGCCATTCTCTTATTAGGTTTTGATAAGATCATTTTTTTTTTTTTTTTTTTTGGCTTTTCAAAAATTTTCGCCATAATATGGAATTTGAAATCTGTGGGCGTCGGTAAGAGAAGTATATTCCTCTGGAGTTTTACATGAACATGGTATAAGGACTTTTCACCCCTGAAGCCAGGATATATCACTCCCTACACTTAGTTAGCTCCAAAGTCATAGTATCTAAACACAAAGAGTATTGCTACTATAATTGGCAGTTATATACAACCTCTACATTGAGGAAATCTATAACATAAATTTCCTCACTTTTCTTGAACGAATATTTCATTGATCAAGCTAAAGCAAGTTTTCTAATTGTCACCCTAGTTAATCCCTAAACGGTAGCGTAAATAATATCTTGTGTTTAACATGTTTCCAAGAGTTGTTTTACTCAACATTAATACAAATGATCGGATGGCAAAACAATATAGTTCACCATGAACAATATATCGTAGATGCAAAGGTAAAAATTATATAATGCCATTTAGAGAGATGAAACTAGTTATTGCTACAAATTATTCGCAAATACAGAGAAATTAATCATCATTTAAGCGGCATTAATTACTGACTCTTTACACCTGATTTGTTTTTGAGATTGGCGATCATTTTTTATCTAAACCAGGATAATGTAATAGTTGTGTGATGACGTCAGACTTATAACAGAAGTACCTTCCATCTATTACGTAAGCAGATGACGTCAGACTTATAACAGGAGTGCCTTCCATCTATTACGTAAGCAAGTATGAGGTAATGGTACATACACACAATATACACAGTAGAAGGTGAAACACAGAAGGAAATGAGCGCTGTATATTTCGTCCTTAAGTCACACTAAATAGGGATACTGTCCAATTAAACTTTAAAGAACAACTGACGCTTTTGCCAAACAGGAATGGCCAAACAGGAATGGAAATTAAATCGTGTATGGATATATATATATATATATATATATATATATATATATATATATATATATATATATATATATATATATATATATATATATATATATATATATACGGTATATGAATATTTTTATAGAAAACCTAACCTAACCTAAGCTAGATTAATTTAACCTAACCAAACTCATCCTTCGCTAACCTACTTTAGGTATAATTTGCCTGTATCTTGAGGGTAAACAACGTTTTAATTAAAATTTCACCACGTATGAAGACGTAGGAATATAAACTAATAAATACTGTAGCTCAGTTTGGCAAAAACGCCCGTTACTCTTTACAGCTGAATCAGCGATTATCCCTATTTATAAATACAAGATATTTATATATATATATATATATATATATATATATATATATATATAAATAATGACGGATACTGATTATAACAAAGATCATCAAAATAGGAAGCACCTGTACGTTTCAATTAAAAATAAAACACGTTTAGTATAGTTATATAAGTTATTATATATTGCAACAATAAAGAAAATATGACATTTCATCAAGATAATTACGGAAGCAAGTTATTGTGGAAAGGTTTTTCGAAAAACTTTTAATCACAGATCGGTGGCGTGTGTAACCTTAATCAATATGTGGTAATGTGTGGCCGCACAGGATGCAGATATTGTTTCCTGGGCAGGACATCCCAGTGAGCCTCAGAGAATGGTTATTCCTTAAGCAACCACGAAAGTATACTTGTTAAATAACTACGTTAGAATAAAACTTTTTTCCTTCTCTTATTGTGCTGTATTGAATGTTGTTGTTAGCATTTCTTAAACAAAGACTTCCAACATTAGCAAGACCTCTTTTACAACACTTACTAATGTGTATTAATGCAGACAGTAAAATCGGTAAAATACACGCACAAAAATTCAATATACCCATGCACAGACATACAAACAAACACATACACACATGACTTCACTAAAACTAAAGATTAAATAAACTGAAACCTAAATTTGGCCAAAAGAGAAATACTTAAAAAAAGAAAGTCAAGAACATTTTATACAAGTGTGATAATTATGTACCATTAAATTTCGATCTCAGTATGACTCGCGTCAATTGAAGGACATTATGATCTAGGGTCAATAAAGTCCCCTCCAAGAGGCCAGTGTCTATTAGGACCTCATGACCTAATAAAACATGAAGACTATAGCTCAAGTTCCCATTACATCTGCAGCCCAATGGACATCTATGTCGCCATAAAACCGAATTTGGACAATAATTGCAACTTGGCCCTCACGAATTAAACCGAATAAAGGGAAAGTTTACTCTTTTTCGTATCAAAAGGAAAACACCCGAAAATCAGTAAATTCCTAGGATCCGAGTCCTCTTTCGATATATATATACCAAAACTACCCATATGTTAAAATAATCGACATGTTCTCTTCGCAACCGAGTGTCTGGATTCGATCCCCCCCGGGTAGGTTGAAAGTAAAGAAATTTATTTTGCTTCGAGATCTTGTTGTTAATCGAGTAATGAGTTGGTCTCTGGGGTAACCTTTTAGCTAGTGTGGTTGTCAAGTTGTCCTTGGCACCAGGTCACATATTGCCGACTCATATATTTTTCTTGTGGTGATGACGGCTTCTAAACCTTAAATTCTTTACTACATACAGATCGATCCATTAATACATAACAACAGGAAGTAAAAGACGAATTTACACATATTTACAGTATACGTTTATAAAGTACACTCATTCGTCATTATTGTCAGTGTATTTTCGTTATCTGGTCATCCATCGACACTGTAGCCCATCTGTACTAACTCCAGAACAAGAAACAGTAATGCCGTTTTCAGGTTTGTTCTCAAAATATAACAGATACTATCGTGTCAATTGATAACTCTTCATTTATATTGTTCCTTATGGTTCCACTTATATTCTATCTATGTTATGCTAAATATTCATCATTGTCGAATTAGTTTTAAAATGAAACAGATTATTACTACAATTTAATAGAAGTCAATTCGCATACGGTTAAGATTTACTTTGATTCATATTTAAAACGTCTTTTACCATCATAAGAGAGACAAATTAGACCCAAAGTAGATTAGGTAGCGTTAAGTTAGGTTAGGTTAGGTTAGGTAAGGTTAGGGTAAGATAGATTAGGTTAGATTAAGTTGTGTAAGGATAGGTTAGGGTATGTATGAAACTATTCATTTATATGATTATGACTGTCCGTATATGATCGTCTATATACAGGTAGCCTATATATATACATAGTTAGTGTGTGTGTGTGTGTGTGTGTGTGTGTAGAGTGCTTTTCTGATATCGTATATATGACTGTGTTGTTTCCTCTTCAGTTCTGAGAAGGATTATGTTAGGTACACACCAGAGTATTCACTGAGACGAGAGATGGATATAGAGGAAGGGAGGTGAGTGATTGTCGAGTGAGAGTGAGAGGATGATGTGTGTAGTGAGACTGAAAGGAAGGTTAGGTTAGGTTTGGCTTTCTTTGGAGAGCAGCCTTAGGAAAACGCTATTTAAAAAAGAAAGTGAGAAGACAGTCTGATTTAAACGGGATGAAAGGAGAATATTGGGGAAATAGTTAATGGCGTTTGTAGAGTAATCTTTTTTTGTGCTGTTTGTTATTCGTGGATATGTGAATTTATATGTGTGTGTATGTGTGTGTGTGTGTGTGTGTGTGTGTGTGTGTGTGTGTGTGTACATGCTTGATTTTTTGTAATGCCATCGAACATACTGTCTGTATTCAAAAAAAAATTACAGTTCATTTACTCAACTACTTCTCATAATAACAGTCTACAAATGCGTTAAAACAATAGTGCAAAACTTACATTGAGCCACGTGTACTTGTCAACGACGACAAATTAAAAACTAAACAAACAGCGGAGAGAAGTAGTGATAAAACTGCAGCAAAGTGTGAGTGTTTGTGGTGGTGTGTGACGCTACACTGTCAACATACTGCGTGGCTACGTCAACCAGCCCACTTACCCAAGGGAAGGTAACTTTAAAGGGCACCAGATAGCAGCCGCCCTGGGAATAAAGAATGAACAATATCCACAGTTTAACCATACACTAGTAATGAACAGCTTCAATGTTCAGTATAACATTAGAGGACAAGTCAGTAATAAATTATTGTGCAATAATACGCAAAATTTAATGTTCATTCAGTGTTAATGTTTCTTAGATTATGAATATAACATAGAACATGAGACAGTACTGTATGTATATCATAACGAATGTGAATTTTCTATTTCTGAATTTCTAGGAAAAATTATTGTCTCTACTTAAGTCACAGAATAATGAATAGTGAAATATGTGTGTACATACAGTGAAGCTGTTATGCTATAACATGAAATAGAAAATTCTTAAATAATCTCTTGTATATAAGTGTCACGAATATCGTGTATGTGTCAGGTATATTGTTAGAGAAAGTGGCCCCCTGGCCTGAGGGTCGGTTAGGGGTAATGTGGATATAGCACACTGTAGGGTAAGCCTTTTTCGGTACACAAGAAAGCAGTATGGCCAGTACTCGACCGCATTCATTTTCACAGGTGTAAAGTTAGGCACCCGTTAGCAGCTGGGGTGGAGCCCCTCTAGGACAGGAGGCGATCCCTGTATCCTACCGGCCTCAGTGTCAGAATGCCATTTCCTCTAAAGACTCTAAGTAATAAGTAATGACATTTTAGTGGTTTAATAAAAGAAACAACTCCATCATGTTAGGTGAAAATATAATGGGCACAGATGGAGAACACTATGTCCGTGTTAGTGTGGATGAGGCAGGTATAGTTGGCCGTCGCTAGCTGCCAGCCATCCCTGGGGGAATGCATATTTCATGTTCTCTGCAGTGTGCTGAGTTCTAAAGTGTACAGGCCGAGTTAAGAAACTGTATAAAATTAACATTAGGCCTGTAATTATTTTTTATTAAAAAAAAGTTGCTCTCGTCAGGCTCCTGGTGCTGTTACACATATTTACTTTGCGTGATGCCAACGACAGTCAGCTGAAATACGTGAAAGTTTTATAATTTTGACTCAGATTAACCACATTGATTATAGGTAAAATCTGATTATATTATCCTGTATGTATATATATATATATATATATATATATATATATATATATATATATATATATATATATATATATATATATATATATATATATATATATATATATATATATATATATATATATATATATATATATATATATATATATATATATATATATATATATATATATATAATGTGTGTGTGTACGTTACGTAAATGCTCTCACAGTTAAAGGGGCAATATTTGCCTGCCCTTGCGTGGTCATAATATTTAGTGTTTTCCCAATTTGCTTTTACAAATTTACAAAACATGTTTTTATTGCAGGGACGGGAAACTGAGTTGAAAAATAGAAACAAAATATTGGACTTACTGATGATAGCGTGTTATGTGTCTATACGGAGAAAGACATCCAGATTGTTGACAAATGGCGACAGTGTGTGTGTGTGTGTGTGTGTGTGTGTGAGTCCACGACATTAAACCACTTACGAGAGCTAATGGGAACCACACTGATCTAACCTAATTAAGTTAGCCTAACCTAACTATACTATTACCTAAGATCTTAACTGAAATATTCCGGTTAGGTTAGTTTGGTTTTTATCAATTTCCATAATGGTTTAATGAGTCTCACCCTCACAATTACCATATGTCAACATGTTGGTTGCTTCTCGTCGTGTAGAAACGTAACACAAATCTCATTTTTTTTTAGTGTCCAACTTCTGTCTCTGCAGTAACTAATAATATTTATAAATTACGTAGATAGAAAAAAACCGAGTCGTAAATAATTCATTGTTATGTATCTCGCCTATTTTGATGGGAGTAGCATAAACATATAATTATCTGTCTGTCTTCTAACTGGATCATTTATTACTTAAAATGATCAAAATAATATTACTAAGTTAAATACAACATGTGTGGATATAGTTGTCAATTTTGTATTGTATGTGTGTCTTTCTTACCCGGTAGGTAAAGCAGCTTTACAAAGGCTGTCTAGCCTGCCACTACAAAGTATTCAATATTGTAAGTTAAAAACATAGGAATCAGTATTTCATTAGTTCAACAAGTCCCGATGTACGTGAAAGCTTGTTCACGACTAAATGTTGAGTTGCTCCAAGCTATCATGCAACTGTAAGAGCGTATATATTTTACACACACACACACACACATGTCTGTGTGTGTGTATATATATATATATATATATATATATATATATATATATATATATATATATATATATATATATATATATATATTACAGTAATTCTTTGCGTCGTGGGTGCTCAGTGCGGCAACCCATGAGGTTGGTGAATATTACAACTACTACGAAAATTGCCATTAGACCAAACTTCCTACCATATACCAGCAGTGTATAGGATATTTTTGTGATAATTAAAGTGTCTATGGTAGTTATATACTTTATAATAAAACATTTTAATGTGTTTACTATGATATAATTTGACAATTGTGCTCTGATTTTATGGAGAACATGTGGGATGATATTATTGACTGTTAAATCCACTGGTTCTTTATTAACGGATTGGACTGATCGACTGACGAACTGAGTGTCAAATAAAACGTCATTATATGACTGCTAGAAAAGACAGGTCTGCCTCATGCCTCTTTGCCCACCTGGTATGATTTTCCCCCAAACCTTCGGCCGCAGCAGGTGACAGTGAAGTTAGCGTGGCTGGAGAGTGAGGGGCTCCGACTCTGGGGCGGGGAGGCGCTCCCGGGCCTGTTGGGCTGGCCGTTGTAAGGAACCTCCAGCTCCACAAACTCTCGGTCCTGCGGAAAGGAGTCGAGTTAATGTTCTCGCCACGGCTACACACTGCTCGACCCCTGAGACGAGTGACACAGAAATGACATTGTAGATCACCTAAAAATATGAATCGTGTATATGTGTAGTACAGTATATATATATATATATATATATATATATATATATATATATATATATATATATATATATATATATATATATATATATATATAACCATCTACACGTCTTGGATAAAGACGAAAGCTAAGGTGCTCCAGTGTTTCCATTTTCCTGTGTGGTTTTATCGAGATTTATCTTGTCCTCGTTTCCATTGTGGATCTACATGAAATTATATATATATATATATATATATATATATATATATATATATATATATATATATATATATATATATATATATATATATATATATATATATATATAGAGAGAGAGAGAGAGAGAGAGAGAGAGAGAGAGAGAGAGACGGTGTATAACATAAGGAGTAGGAGCATGATAACCGGATATATCGTATTGATGCTGTTATTTTTTTTACCTAACATAAATTATCGGATAATATTGTTCATAATCAGAATCTTTTGAGACAAGTAATGCTTAGTAAAAGTTTGCAAAATATCAAGTTTACATTGAGCTGTTGATAATGTATCTTAAGCAATATTTATAGAAGTACATAGTTAATAACGATTTATCACGAGCAATATGAATAACAATAAAAAAGTTATAGTCACTAATTTGTCTATATAGTTTCACAAGATATTAAGTATTTACAAAAGGCTAAATAGACCAAAAAATGTAATAACAACTCTTAAGATTATTTTGCTTCAAAACTCACAGTACAGTGCAAGAGGCGAAGGCGAGATCATTCAGAAGACTGAAAAGTAAAATTACAGACAAAGTTCATCTGTAACAATGTTTCACTATATCGACTTGGGCTTCAGAGCGGCAGGCCCCTATGTGAACAAATACTGCAATACTAGTATTATGTATTTTGGACATAAGTTACATTCACTTTTAATTATTAATATGCTGAAATCGTGTTACTTAGGGTTACAGCAACCATGGTGACAAAATAAGGAACCTGATATGTATTAAATAATTCCCAGGTAGAAGAACAACGCCAATTTTGGTTACCGACTTACAAATTATAGACACAGCGAGAAATAGTGACCTTTTGTTGTAGGTATTTGTCTGGGTCCTGCCTTAAAGAGTCCGAGGCGGATTTTCATTCATTATATATATATATATATATATATATATATATATATATATATATATATATATATATATATATATATATATATATATATATATATATATATATATATATATATATATATATATATATATATGTTTTAACAAAATGAGTTAAGAATCCTGAAGTCAGCGATTGTTTATGACGTCATTTCAGTTTCAAAAGGAAAGTCATCTATATTCTATAAATGAAAGCAGGTGCACGTGGTCCTCGTGTTATCGGCGTGCATGACATCAACTGGTGAAGGTACTACTTATTTATAGCCGTGTTTTTGCAATCAAATGACTCTTTAATTTTCTCGACATAAAATATGTTGGACAAGTCTAAAGAATTCTGGAAATAATTTGTACAAACACGACTAAAATGTTAATGATTCGTTATCCCCTTAATCTATAAAACAGAGAAGCAGAAACTGAAAAAGGTTGAGGGCTATCATCTAGTTGTCTAGTTATATTAAGACAAGCTCAGCATGAAGACTTTATGAACCTGTTGTCTTACATACTGTAGTAGTATAATGACTGATAACGGAAGGGCACGAGAAAACGTGATGTATACTCGCATGTGTGTGTGTGTGTGTGTGTGTGTGTGTGTGTGTGTGTTGTTTGAGCCTTATTAGAAACATACGTATATTATACCACTGTACCCTGTACTTAATTATAAAGAAGATTACTGTTGGTTGAGACTGTTCGATAAAGTAATTACAGATAATTAGTAACAGTAGACAAAAGTGGTGGTGAAGGAGAGAGTGAGTAACGAAGGGGGGGGGGGGGGGGGCAGCTGCGTCAGGCAACACTATACTACTAGACTTGCTCACCCGGTCGATACTGTTGTAGCCAGGCTCACCCACACCATCTCACGCCACCAAGCACTAACATCACAAGTTGGTTCATCAGTGTGTGTCAAGTGAAAGTGGTGAGGGGGTACTACAACTACTTTACCAGGATAGTGTTATTATCAACAGGCCAAGGATAGGATATAGCGATATAAGCGTGTGTAAGTGTAATCAATTGCATATCTGGTCTTATCATGCTGCAGCCTTTTCCGGATTTTCACGAAATTTATTAGAAAAAAAAGTGTTTATGAAAGGTTGATGGACGTGTAAAGTACCAAGATGATTCTGGTCACATAAGTCTGAACGTCGAAACGGATACAACATCTTCAGACTTCTTTAATTAGTTCTCCCGGCAACTAAAAAGGAGGTCCAACTGGTTTTCCTTGTAAGCCATTTTGTATAATCAACTTTTTCCATATTTTTCTTCAGGCTGGCTATTTGGCTTAGATGTAAATGTGGGAATTCGTTAGTGAAATGTTCAACAAAATTGCCGATCTGTGAATTTTGTTTATCACGGAGCATAAATGTCGTCTCAACACAGATTCTTTAGTTTGGTTATTACATTGGAAAAAAAAAAATTATACTTACCGTCTTGAACTTACCTCCATCATCACCACCCTGTCAAAATGGGAGCTATCTCAACGAAAATTGGTAATAGGGTAAAATTGACCAAGTCCAATTTTAAAGAGTTAGACCCAATATTAAGCTCAACAAGAAAAGATTTGCAATATATCGAGAGACAATATAAAAAGGCGACAGATGAGATGTGTCTAGGAAGTGTATATATGGTTACATGCGAGAGATTCCTATAGGCCTGGCTTCTTATGTCCTTATATCTAATACCTGTCGTAGACCAACCAATGAAAGTCACTGCAGATAATTTTCTTCAACATGTTTGTTATCCGTGTCGGTCGGGCGGTATAAATCATCTGTATCTCCTACATGTCGCAATAGCTGACTAAATGGGTGAAAAGGGGTGTGGGGGGGGGGAGGGGGGGTAGGTAAGAGTTAGGGAAACGCTATGACTTATCCCTGGTGAAAAAAAAAATATAGTGAAGGTCTTAAACTTTAGTCTGTATAAACCTATCAACCGCCACTGATAGACAGCTAATTACCACGAGGTTCTTATTTCTTACCTTAGATGTGACCACTAATAGCCACCGTTGGTATAGTTATTTATTTATGAAATCAATAAATTACAAATTTATGGATTTTCCTTTGTCTTATTGAGAAGAAAACCAGCTGTAAGGAGGACAATGTAGTTGACCTTTACACCATAGTAAAAATAATGAAATATAATGATTTACAAAATTTTCCTTTAATTTGTTGACCCCTTCACTAAGGGGACGCCCCTTTTAATATTTTATTTGACTAACACCAGACGATTTTATTCAGGTCAGATAGGACCTCGTACACAAGGGGTTAGTAGACTTTCATATCCGCAAAGTTAATTGTTTTTAAATGTTAGCAGCATTAGTATCCTCGATAGATGTCAGGCAGACAACGTGACCCACCATCTAGGTTGAGCCCCCTACATCAAGTCAGGGTGATGTCTTTACGATAATATCGGAAATGTAGGTCGGTGAGTCTGGTCGGCTGCTGCTGACTCACTCACTAGGTCACTGCCGCACCGCTACCACCCACAAGACTCCCTAACCTTCCATTACAAAAGAGACAAGGAGAGTGACACCATGGATTACTTTATATAGGATAAAGACTGCCAAACTGCTACCTTCATGTGTGTGTGTGTGTGTGTGTGTGTGAGTGTGAGTGGAGTGTGAGGGATGTGGTGTTTTTATAGACACGCCACTGACCACATTGGTTAATCAACCACCCTCTTAACTAACCAGCCTTCCAGGTCGGCATTCACCTGCTCTTTGGCTCACTAGACGTCGAGGAGTCAATTAATTAACCTGAGAGGCAAATAAGCCAAACTGATAGATACTTTTTAGTTAACCAGTCAAACAGTTATCTTTTCATAGTATCTCTCAAGACAACATAGACAGCTTCTTCTTTCTGCCCCACCAGGCACCCAGGCCCTGAGATAGCCATACAACCTACCACCGTACAGATGTGAAAAGCGACCCCACTATAGTCAACAAGGTTTGAAGATGTGGTCTATTCACTGGTGATGGGGGACAAGGTGGTGGTACACGGGCACACAAGGTAAGGCTCCCGTTAGTGGTGGGCGGAAGTACGGCCGCCCCTGCCTCTGTACACACACACCGCGTACACCAGCCATCAATAATGAAACCAGCCCTCCTGTCTTGACCTCGCGCTCGTTTACCCTATGTATTTTATTTTTTTCTAATAATATTTAAAGAGATCTGAGACTTGTACGCTATTTTCAACTTATATATATATATATACCAAAATTCATATAATGATATTAATGATTTATTATTTTGTAAGTAAACATAAAAAAATAAACTGACTTGTTTCTGTTAACTAAAGGATTATTTCTATAGGGGTAAGATAATATTTGCGAACGCTTTTCCTTCTGTTGGCCAAAGTCAATTATGGGATGTGAGAGTTTGGTGTGACGGAGGGAAGGACAATGAGCACAACACACCGAGGACAGTAATGCCAGTGTTGACCAGGTGAACACTCCTTCATGAGACACACACACACACACCACACACTACCTCATCTGTCAGGGACTTGTGGTAGTGAAATATATACATATAAAGATCCTACACTATGGATTGTCCTCAGATTTTTTTTGTTTTTAATGAATATATCAGCTAACAACCTGACCCAGTTCAATTCGACAATCTTTAAAGATCCTTCTCCCTTTATTTCATGATTCACTGAGTTGGCTTCAGCATATAAACAGACACCACTATACCCTTTATAAACAGCATAGGTAGCATCCCCCTTCCACCTTCTCCCTCTTCCTAAGTGATCGACACAAGGAACACAATACCAGGAGGTCTGCATGGTGCGTGGTCGACGAAGCTCCTCCATTACACAGCGAACAAAACATTGTACTCCTTTGCCATACTAGAAGGTTGACAAGGGTCTTCCATAATACAGAAAATATAATACTGCACACCTTTTGTCCTGCTGAGAGGTCGACAATGTTCTCCCACCTGGATACAATAAAAGCTAAATCTTCCTGGTATTGTCTCTACATATCCACCTCCTTACCTTCTGTATTCAAGCGCACCTGAAGACATGATAATATATTCATATCTTCGCATCGGAATTAAAACTTTATAGATTGACATAGAAACTTTCTTATCTGTGACGACAAAACAATATGATTCTAACTTTCTGATTAAAGGTAAATCTTATAAATTTATTTCTAATATAAATTTCCTCTCAACACGTAAGAGAAATGTGTACGTAAATAATAAGAAACTTAATCTGAATAAAAGTTAAATGATATATTACGTTACGTGTGTGTTCCATTTATTGTATGACAAGTGTTAGCCAATGAGGGGTGAGAGATGGTTAGTGAGGGGTGAGAGATGGTCAATGAGGGGTGAAAGATGGTTAGTGAGGGGTGAGAGATGGTTAATGAGGGGTGAGAGATGGTCAATGAGGGGTGAGAGATGGTTAGTGAGGGGTGAGAGATGGTCAATGAGGGGTGAGAGATGGTCAATGAGGGGTGAGAGATGGTTAACGAGGGGTGAAGATGGTCAATGAGGGGTGAGAGGTGGTTAACGAGGGGTGAGATGGTTAATGAGGGTGAGAGATGGTTAGTGAGGGTGAGATGGTCAATGAGGGGTGAGAGATGGTTAGTGAGGGGTGAGAGATGGTTAGTGAGGGGTGAGAGATGGTCAATGAGGGGTGAGAGATGGCATGACTTAGTTATGATATTTTTATAACATAATTTATGGTCTCTTTTTTTTTTTTTACATTTTACTCATTAATAAATGTACGAAATTTGCTTAGATCAAATAAAACTAATTTACAGAGCATATTATGAGGTATTTAAACTACCTGTCTGAGGGTCATCAACATTATATGGAGAGTGTGCACACCTCTCGTTATGGAGAGTGTGCACACCTCTCGTTATGGAGTGTGCACACCTCTCGTTATGGAGAGTGTGCACACCTCTCGGTATGGAGAGTGTGCACACATCTCGTTATGGAGTGTGTGCACACCTCTCGTTATGGAGTGTGCACACCTCTCGTTCACATTGCAGAGTCTATGTTGCAAAATATAAATTAGAGGCAGATTTATGTTTCTGTATTAATGGTTTAGCTCATAAATAAAAAGTATTGTTCACCATTGACGGGGTTTTTATATCCCGCGTGAAGTATTATAGTAGGAGCCAAGGCCGCCCCTAGGGGGGTGCGGGGCCCGGGGCAACTCAGCCACTGCGGGGCCCCACCAACCCCCATGGGACTGTCGCTATGGATGGTAAGGTCACGGTTGCGATGGCGTAAGCCGTCAGGTCAGATTAACCAGTCAACAGGTAATGTGTCTGAGGTCACTGGGTCAAGTGTTGGGCCCCGCGGGGCCCCCACACGCGCGGGGCCCCGGGCGGTCGCCCCCGTTCGCCCCCCCTAAAGGACGGGCCTGGTAGGAGCAGCAGAAGCACTTAGAAGCAACTTAGCAATGTTGAAAGTTACTGCCTGACTGCGGAACTCTAATGTGTGGTGAAGCACAAGGAGGTGTGAGTGATGGAGAACCAATGTTACCTGCTCGTCTGGCGACTCGTCGTCGTTCCTCTCGTACTATAAGTAATTATAAAAAAAACTGTCATTCAACCTCAGATTACACATTCATCATTTAAACTATACATACACAATATATGTACTATTAAACTATGCATACAAAGTCTATATGTATGTATTTATTGAACTACACATACACAGTATTTACGTAGATCTTCAACTATACATATAAAGTATGTATGTACATCATAAAGACACAGTCAAAGTTTCGTTCGTATTACAAGATAGCTTCAGGATGATTTGACATATGGAGACAAAAGCTTGACTCAGTTTGTCTGTTTTACGTAAGTCTTCTCAAAATTGACATTCAAGTGTGTGTGTGTGTGTGTGTGTGTGTGTGTGTGTGTGTGTGTGTGTGTGTGTGTGTGTGTGTGTGTGTGTGTACGGATGTGTGTGTGTGTGTGTTTGTGTGTGAAGTTATGTTTTTACTGCAACTCATCTTTATCACATGTACACGAGCCAATTTAGCCTCAGCGCTACTTAACATAACCTGTCCCCAAGGAGTGCTCATTACCCTTTGGCTAACGATGATGGCACTACTACAAATGACGCAGAAAGGTCGGATGGCAACATAACCAATGGTGACGAGTTCAAAATCAATAGTATATACTGCCTATGCAATCCACACACACACACACACACACACACACACACACACACACACACACACACTTATTTACTGTATTTGTATGTATATATAAAATTTATCGAGTTTAATTAAAAATAGCTTCAGTAAGGACCCGAAAATCGAAAAATCACAATACAAAAGTTGATGAGAAAATCACTTCCACACTCAAAACACTGAGGGTTTTTCTTTCCCATTTATCTTTATATAAGTTATTATTGAACCCCAGCTTTCCACTCTGCCGGGTAAACGATTATCCGGGTGTTTCAATAATAGCCATACGTTTTATTTTTGTAAGAAGTATACAGTCTATCACAGAATACGAGTTTTATATATTTACTTTTATATGACAAATTACTACAGTCATCTCGCATAAGGACAGTGAAATTGTCTATCAAATGAGTGTGTACTGAGGAAGAAAGTTTGTCGTCAGATAAAAGCTAAGTCTTGCCTGTTTACTGCAACAAATTATCTCTTGTTTACATTAAACGAAAAAATTTAAAAATTCAATTTCTCTCCATAAAACACCAAAGGTAAGGTTGTGTCAGGTAAGATGCCCTCTAACCCCCGACCTTTTCAACAGCATTAAGAAAACAAAAAAAATAATCTAGCCTGGGACAACTACCAGGAGCTACTAATTAATATGGGAGACAAGTAGGGTTACAGAGTTCTTCAGAGCGTGTCGTGGAGGAGATATAAAAGGTTCGTTGCTGGAGGCGGAGCTAGAGTGCCACCACCACCACCTTCTTTGCTTGTCACATCAAAACACACAACATTTTCGTTAAATATTTGGTTACAGTTCCACGAAGACAAATTATGTCTTCCTAACTATCGGGATATCATAAAGTAGGCGATTTTTTGCATACTAAACTGAAAAGGAAATGTACAAAATTTTCTAAGATTTCCATTTTTCCTTGTGCCCAAATATATTTACTGTCATTTACATCTTCTGTAAATGAAGGGAATTTTATACCCACGGTCTTAATCTGTTTCATCGTTAATAGATGTGACCCTCAACAGTAAGTCTTTTATAGTAAAGTATAATTGTAAATTATATTTAGGTTGTTCAACTTCAGCAACTCACTTTATTGCCATATTATCCATAGAAACTAAGTGAATTGCACCTGACACACTCACATATTGGAAAATTATCTTGCCAATAAGTTTCCACAAACAGTTCATGCATGATAGATGCAGAATTAGATGATTGTATAACATTCTCACTTCTCTTACAACCAAGTCTGTACCAGGTGTAGCAGCACTCACTTTCCGATACTTTAATACCCCCCCCCCCAAAAAAAAATAATAATGCAATAAACGTATCGGTGTGGATTCCTTTCTATAACTGACTGACCGTGGTCTTCTCGAGGCAGCGGAGTAGATGATGATGCTGCATCTCGAAGATGTCTTCCTCCTTGGTAAATTCGTCCATCTCCAGACCGCTCTCCTGTGCCGCGAGTCGCGCCTCCGCCGCCTTCTTCTTAGTGACAAAGGCCGCTCCTGAAGACGCCTTAGCGATCCGGATCCTTGCTAAGCGCGCTTTCTGTTTCGGGAAGCAGGTAAAATGGGATGTTAGATAACGAATTAATGTTGTATAGTGCTGTTTAAATACTTTATAAATAACAATAAATGAGCACCATGGCATGACAGTCCTAAAACTCAGCGTGGCTGCGATCCTGTCACGGGAAGGCTTTATTGTTTTCAAGTAAGCTACAGAGTTGCTGAAGTAATAGTATGGCAGGCGAAGTGTGTGCTGGAAAGCTATGATGTCTGCAGCTGCAGCAGTATGCCGCGAGCTGCAGGGCTCAAGAACAAAGATCAGTCAACATATACGCATTATGTCTAGCAGCTCTTGTACACATTCTCATTCAAATGAAGCAAGCTAGGCCTAAAATATGAGTAGCGGCGAGTGAGGGCTAGGTAGAGATGCAGCGTGTCACAATTGTGTGTGGTAGGCTTCCGTAGCAACCTGTGTGTGCCCCTTCTCTTTCTACTCCTTCTCCTCCTCCCCTGCCACTACTTCTCTTATATCCCTTCTACTCTTCCTACTCCTCCTACTCTTCCTCCTTTAGATGTCAAACTCGCCTGTTGCTCCTCACGTTTCAGCAGTGCGCGCTGGGAAAGAAAGGTTGAGTGTTGTCAGTGTGGTGAGTGCACTGGGTTATGGCCAGGGGGTGGGGAACGGGCGGCTGAACACCAGTACACTGTGTTATTATAGTACTTGGATTATTCTTTCACAAAATGGGGTGATATGTCCTGTAAATAGATGACGATAGCTATCACTTAAAGCGTATCTGAGACATCTGTGTTGGTGTTGGGGTTACTGGTAGACATATACAACTCACCATCATAACTATCAGCAATAGAAATATGGTGCCTAAGCACTAATATACTGATCTGAAAGAAAAATTCCATTTCATAACCATAATAGAAATAAAATTAAGATTTGGGAACTCCCCTTTTCTCCAAAAAATTGTATAAAGAATGTAAACACTTATACACTCAGAATTTGTCATGGCTTATAGTTAACTAAAAAAATTAACTCACTGGAAAAAAAAATCCTAGTGGCATAAATTCTAGGCTAAGACATAATGTATAATCTACATCTACTAGTTATACTATGTACATTAATTACTTGCATTTTTATTATATGATGTCCATTAGGAGGAGGAGGACGCCGAGACACGTCAGATCCTCACCAGCCCCTCCTATATACAGAGTTCCATGCCAGTACCTAACATACACACCACCGGAGCCATCAACACCAAGTTAGAGAAAGGCCACACGAGAGGGATGACGACCTATACAAGCCGCTGGAGGACCAAGTCACCAACAGTGAGACATGGACTACATTGGTACAAGAACCTAAGGCAACATAGCATCTTGGAGATAGTCGCTGGTGTTAGAGTTGAGAGCGTGAGTCATCCTGAACTAGAGAAACCTAATGATAGATGGAAAATATTTCTGATCGTCTTTCAATAGTCACCAAATATCGTGTCTGAGTGCATGCTTGAATAGATGTTGATTATAATGAGATAGTTTATGCATTATTGCTGATGTTATAAAGTTATTACTGCGCCTCAACAACTTAGGTTTTTAAGCGCGTAACAAAGTTAACAATAACACTTGTCCAACAACAATTGAAAATTATGAGAGATAGAACTCCCTTTATATACGTTATTCAAAGTAAGGTGATTAAAAACTAAAGCATAGAATAAATAAATAATTTACCATATAACAACATAGTCGGTTATATTTGTTTAACCCGAAGTCAACATATTTTCACATATGATAACTTAGCTACGTCTTTAGTCACAGATACACTGAAACATACAAACACTAATATTACTATTAAAAGATTAGGCTGAATACACAAACTGATCATACCAAAATATATCTTTTCTCTCGCACACAAACATTCTTATTAAGACATGTATGACAACTGTTGTAACACGTACAAAACAGGGATGGAATATTGGAATGAACGACGCCTTATAAGCGTGATAGTTACACGCACATACTGTATACAATATATATAGAACTCTCGCTCACGTCCTTCGTTCACATCACAAGGACAAGAGCATATATATATATTCTCATGCGTTTTACAACTTCTTTAAAAATAGGCTTAAGCTTCTGTTTAAAAAATGACGAACTCTTGTCAAATGATCAGCAAATATTTACAGTTGTGATGAATTATAACATATAGTAGTTATTACCTGTTAAGTGATTCTTGTGGAAGTCTTTAATCATATGACACTTTTTATACTGTATGCTCAAAACACAGCCACGCCTGCCTGGGTGATGTGAGGTGCATAATGAAGCAGCGTTGGAAGTGAGAGTGTGAGACAGCAAGTAAGAGTGCGAGGCAGCAGGCGAGAGTGTGAAGTAGCAGGTGAGAGTGTGAGGCAGCAAGTAAGAGTGCGAGGCAGCAGGTGACAGTGTGAAGTAGCAGGTGACAGTGTGAATCAGCAGGTGACAGTGTGAGGCACAAGTGACAATGCGAGGCAGCAGATGTGGGTGTGAGGCAGCAAATGTGGAACCGAGATCGTTCCCTCTCCTCCCCCCATTGGATTGTTAGTCTTTGCATACAGGTGGCATTAAGGGACTTAAGATAATAGATAATGTCATTCACTTTACCTTCGACAACCTTTACAATCATTCATTCAAAGTTTTATATTCAGTAATAAGTATTATTCTATCATTCTTCCATATCATCTATGTTAGCAAGTCTAATGACGTGCGTCTCCCCCAGTGTGGCCAAGTCTCAGCTCCCATAGTGTGGCTGTCAGAGTGTGAGCAAGACATACCTCTCACAGTGTGGCCATAGCACGGTTCTCATAGTGTGGGCAAGACATACAGAACTTCTCACAGTGTGGCCATAACACGATTCTCATAGTGTGGGCAAGACATACTTCTCACAGTGCGGCAATAACACGCTTCTCATAGTGTGGGCAAGACATACCTCTCACAGTTTGACCATAATATGGCCTTCATAGTGTGGGCAAGACATACCTCTCGCACGTGGCCAATACACGGTTTTCATAGTGTGGGCAAGACATACCTCTCACAGTTTGACCATAATATGGCCCTCATAGTGTGGGCAAGACATACCTCTCATAGTATGGCCATAACACGGTTCATAGACTATGGAAAAATCCGCCTCACTCGTAACTAAATGACATCACGAGATATTTGGCAGATGGGACTTTTTCCTTATTTTAAATTAATATTAATCAACATTTCAAGACAAGACATACTCACCTGCTCCTTACGTAACTATAATCCAAGGTAACTGTTGGAGACAATCAATCTTTATCTCCAAGAGCTTTGTGGAGAACTTAAATTACTCTATGAGGTCCTATTTAACGACGACTCTTACAACATTCTACTGTACCAACATTACTATCAGTGAAGAATTCTATTATCTGTTTAGGATCCAGGATACAGTACTGATTTTTATGTATTTCGATTAGCATAGAAAAATATTCATCAATTTTACTTTATCTACTAAAATATCTGAAGTGTACCAATGAACTCAGAAACACTCACATACGATTTTCCAACTACACGTTTTAATCAAATAGAGTGATTGAGAATATATTTGTTGCTATTTAAATGTTACTCTTATGCTTACACCTTAAAAGTAGGTTTTTGTTTACTTTTGGTTATAAGATGTGCCCATTAGTACCGAGGAGTGCCCCTATTAGTACCGAGGCGTGTTCCTATTATTACCGAGGTGTGTCCATGTTAGTAATGAGGTGTGCCCCTATTAACACTGAAGTGTACATAGTGTACAACACCCAGTTCTACAGAGTATACCTGAATTTCTCTTAACATAAGCTTTAGGCACACATTCCAAAAACGAATCTTTACGAAGGGGTCCAATGAATTTCAAAATGAACCCTTCGACTCCTGTTGTCTCGGTAGGGTTGTCAAAATCCTTCGTTCGTTGTGTCATATTGCCTCACACATTATCGTAAAGATCCTTTTTGGAGTGTGTTTACATTATACCGTATGTAAATGTCATATCTATATTTCTTACAATAATAAACACATTATAAATTATGTCCTGTTGACGTAATTACGACTTAGAATTAATACAACACAACCGATTATTGTTGAAATAATCCCCATTTTGGTGACTGACCAAAGTCTGAAAACAAAAATCTTCTGATATTTATGACCAAACTTTTAGTCCTATTACCTTCCTCATGACCAAATTTATTAACCTTCCTCAAGACAAACCTGGAGAGCCTTAACCTTCCTCAAGATAAACCTGGAGAGCCTTAACCTTCCTCAAGACAAACCTGGAGAGCCTTTAACCTTCCTCTTGACCAAACTGTGAAACCTTAAACTTTTCCTTATCTGAGACCTTTAGCAACTCCTCTAAGACTTAACATAAAACCTATATTGGAAAAAAAAATACGAGACAGCCATCCTTCATTATTCCCACATATCTGATCCCAAAATGGTAATAGACTAAAACAACATAATTTAATTGCCCTATTTTTAGGTGGATTTACTGATAATTTGGTTTTGTGCATAATGAGTATTTAGTTATGGAAATACAAATTTAGCCAACCTTCAACTCTAATTGTTCATGATAGTGTCTTAAACAACTGAATCAGTAATTGTTCATGGTGGTGTCTTTATTCTTACATGTGGTCTTCTTCTTCCCACCTTCTCTTTCTTATCTTTTCCTCCCTGCTTTCTCCCTCTGTTTTCCTCAATTTTTTCTCCTTCCTCCATCCCCCTATCCAAATTCACCCTCTCACCCTCTTCTTTCTTCCTCATCATCTTCACTCACCCCGTCGAAGTACCAATAATCCTTTCCGAACTCTGGTTTTAACTTTTTGATCTGGTGCCTAACTATTCGAATTTTTAACGTATCAGTTCATAATTGCAACACACAAGAATGGCAATTAACAGATAATCTAACAGACACACATATAAACAGACAAGAAAAGACGCGAACCGAGCACTAGATAAGGTGAAGGACAAGACCCAACACAAGTGACAGTGATTCAAGGAAGCGTCGTCACCAAAAAAAGTCGTCTTGTCAACATACCGATGATGTCCTGTCACAAGACCAAAGAAATTATTAGTTTTGCTTGAGAGTAAATGAGCGTGTTTGAGACATATAATGATTTAGTAATGTGAACTGATCCTTGAATATTTTTGTTATTGTTTTTTTAAGAATAACGAGGAATAAAACAAGAAAGGAAAGTATGTCTGTGAGAGTTAGACTGATATTGGAGACATAGTCAGGTTCAGAGAGGTTAATGTATCAATGTCTAACCAGAGGAAGAACTGAGGAAAGATTTGGAATTTTATGGTTGAGGTTGGTTGTGACGAGATAATGGTGGTAATATGTAAAGCTGTGGACAAAAATAATTCTGCAGGGAGACAGTGTAAATTACACCTGACTCATAATTGAACTTTAAAAAAAAAAAATGTGGCGTTGAAAAAAAATACCACAGTTTTAATCGCCACCTCAGTGTTACGTTGCCAAGTCACCACCTACCTTCCTCCCTTCCTGCCGAATTATTTTTATTTTTATCCACAACTGTGCATTATTGACCTAAATCCACTCTTAGTTGTCTTTAACCAGTTGATATAATTAATAACAACCACACACGGTAGTTGAACAAGGGACACGTTGGTGCAAATCCCTGGTGGTAGGAATTCACACTAAGGTCTTCCTCCGTCTGAATTTACCACTTCTTAGTCAGTTGTACCTTAAGTCTCACACAGAGAACTCTTCCAGTCGCGGTGTTCAGCTCGCTAGGCAGGTAAGTGGCTTATACATTGGGTCAAATTCATATTAGTTTATTTTTTACATCTCAAGTGTGTGTGTGTGTTTCTTGAATTATTTGAAATAGGGTTGTGTTATTTATTTTTTAGCACTATTCATTTGCGTTTGATTAACTTCTTTTCAATTTACTTTTGTTAATATAAATTTTAGACAAGACTTCAAAGAATTATCCTGGTTTGACTTAGACAATAAAACTGAGGAATTAATTAAACCTCTCAAACAAAATAAGTGAAGAGAATGAGTGCTGGAAGAACATTTAGGAGAGTAATGGATACAGACTGAGGCCGAAAGTGAGGTTAGGTTAGAGTACGTTATGTTAGGTTAGGTTAGATTAGGTTAAGTTTAGTTTAGATTAGATTAGGTTAAGTTTAGTTTAGATTAGATTAGGTTAAGTTTAGTTTAGATTAGATTAGGTTAAGTTTAGTTTAGATTAGATTAGGTTAAGTTTAGTTTAGATTAGATTAGGTTAAATTTAGTTTAGATTAGATTAGGTTAAGTTTAGTTTAGATTAGATTAGGTTAAATTTAGTTTAGATTAGATTAGGTTAGATGGGAGAATGACAAACTATAACCAACAACGACCCTGAACAAAAATATACGCCTCTGGTTCATCACCTGTGTACGAAGACCACAAGAAACTCATCCACAGACGGGTCGAAAATAGGATCAAGCTAATTACCTCACAACTTGAAAACAAACTCATTATCCACACATAACGAGTTAATTAGGTAATCTGAAAAGGTAACAAGGTGGTTAGAATTGTAGTTGTAGATGACCGGTGAGGAGCAACCATCAGTGCTCAAAGGTTCAGCATATTACCCACCAGACTTGGAGATCTTACCTTCTGAGCTTTCCTCTTGTCCGCTCGCTGGTTCTGATGATAGATTCTGGAGAAGTTCGACACGATGACAGGTACGGGCAGCGCGATCACCAATACGCCTGAGAGTGAACATACGCCGCCCACTATCTTCCCCGTGGGCGTGTGGGGAACCATATCACCATACCTGTAAAGAAATTAATATTATTAGGCGTGTGTTACCGTGTTCGTTAGAGACTGAGCAAATAAGCGAAGGGTAAGTCGCAAAGCCAATAGGGGGGAAGAGTAGAGACGTGAGGATTGAGCTGAAGGTTATATGCCTAGGTTGAAGGAGAAGGAGAGAGGAAGAAGGGATCGTATTAAAACATCCTACCGTTGAGAAGACAAGTGCAAAATCCTGTCGTCGTCGGCTTCTCTTTGAGTAGAAGCGAAGCAAGGGAGTGGGTGTTGGTGTCCCAGTGAAGGAATTATTTTTTTTAGCAGGAGGCAGAAGCCACTATACATGATGATAAGAGTGGGGTGACATATTATAATTTTACATGTTGTAGTTCTGTTCAGAATACGAAAACACATACACGGATATGATATTAGCTTCCCTTCACAAAACTTTTCGTAATTAATCAGCCTCGGTTACAGTATACTAAGCTGGGTCACCTCTGCAGTCTTCTTTACCCTGACTTGGTGTAAATTGTTTGAGTAATGTAGGTACAGTACTTGGGTTTAGGAAGATTATCAAACTAAATCTTGTTAACTTTCAATGCAGGACTTTAAGAGAATGTTCAACAGTTCAGTAGTATATTAAACCAAATCTCTTTCTCAATATAGGTCAACAGTGTGTGAGGAAAGAGCAATGTTTTTCAGTGTATCCTGAAATTAACGTGTGTCATTACGTTAATTACAGGTATATACTGTGTTGGAACATGCAAGGTTGTATAAAGTAGTACAAGGTGACGGGGACTGTCCTTTAATTACTCAAGTGTTTCTGACTTCTATGTTAATTAGTAATCGACATATTGACAGGTGTTTGAGGTTAATATTATGTTATTGTGTGAGTGGCTGCAACATTCCCCCCCCCCCCTCATTTATTTATCTCATCTTAAACCAATCCCCTGGCCCCTAATACCACTCGAGTACTCCTAATCCCTGACCTCCCAGCCACACAAGCACTAGTTTCTGACACGAAGTTATCATACACCTTTAATCAAATTAGTGACAGTGATTCGTGTTAGTGGTGCACACTTTGGTGTAGGAGTCATCAAATACGTAACAGTGACTCATAATATGGTCTGCTGCCCTGCTTAATATTATAGAGGGTGATTGATTAGTTGGGTCTTAGCCCTGGTAAGCCTCAACCTTGCCAGAGTTTTAGTGTTGTGGTTCTGGTCCTCATGAGCTCTCGTCCAAAGAACCCCAATCATAATAGTTTATTCTGTATGTTAGAAACTAGTTAAGACTGAAACACATATGACCTGCATGTGAGTCGCTAGGAGAAATGCTTTCGGCCTGGTTACTTCAAAACGAAGTACTCTCTCTCTCTCTCTCTCTCTCTCTCTCTCTCTCTGTTGATTGTCACTTGGAAGTGTACATTTGTAACTTGATTAAGAACATTGTTTGACTTAATGTAATTAATCACCTCCAATATTCAATGTTAAAATGTGTGTGTGTGTGTGTGTGTGTGTGTGTGTGTGTGTGTGTGTGTGTGTGTGTGTGTGTGTGTGTGTGTGTGTGTGTGTGTGTTAGGGTACGTTTGATTTATCCCTTATTTAATTTGTAAATTGAAGGTTTCTTTGTGTTTAATGTAGTTATAAAATGTTAACTATTTATTTTTTGTTCGTCATTAATTTGGATTACTCATAATTTAACTTATTGTTGTTACAAATATCTTGACCTGGAAAACAGGGAAAGGATAATGGGAGTGAACTGAGAGTTATCACTAGTTGTGAGTAAACACTTGGGTCGTAACAACACTTTATTGTAAGACCATGAGATTCCCAGTTTCCCAGGATGGCGAGGCCGCTTGAGGAGAGGGAGGCCAGGGGAAGCTGTTAGGTGTGAACTTGGGTCGATCGGTAGAGAAAGATCTAGCAGGGAGCTGGGCAGGCAGGACTGTAGAAAGTGAGATACAGATGCACCACAGATCTTCTGGGTCCCTGTCTCATGACCTAACTTACAGGCGGGACAGACAGTGTTAGAAAAGGATAATTATTTTATATTATGACAGATTTAAGATGAAGACGCAGTTCCAAGATGAGCTGTAGATGATTCTGAAGTACGTAGACCAATAAGTGGAGTACACTAGATGAAGTTTTCTGATGGCCAGCGTTGGTTATCACACTGACATAATCTTCGACTGGTGTAGTACGTGCCAAGCTGGAGTGTGTGAGATGATGCCAGAAAGCTGCTTGGCAAGGAGCTGCAGAATGGTCCAGCTACCATGGACTCTCGCCGGCTGTGAGGATCGAGAGAGGAGATTGAGGAAGTGCTTGTCATAGAGTCGGGGCTGGTTGCCTGAAGCTCGGAAACTGTCCCAGGCCTTGGTGAGTTAGAGAAATGGTTACTCGTGAGCCAGTTGGGGAGGGTGTCGGAGGGTTACCCACATGAGCTCAACGAGGACAAAAGCCTAATTGGAGCGGTTCCTGTGCTGGGATGCTCTGAACTTGGGCACCAGTGTAGGAAAGACAGAGATAGGACGAGAGCACTATTTATGAAGTGATTCTCTGATTGGGTTAAATGACAGTGAAGTCAGTCGTGAAGGTTTCATGATGTGGAACACACGGTCCAGATGTGTTGTTGGTAATGAGTCAAGTGAGGCGCTACCAGATGAAGGCTTCCAGTGTATATTTCCACACTCTCTTGCCTTAATGCTTTTCTTCTTATTAGGCTCCTCCTAATCTTATAATTCCATTGATCCACCACATAGCATCACGGGGCTCACTGTGGCTCTGGGTACTTCGTGATAAACGAGATATTAATGTAAGTATTACTTTATCTTCGGCAAGTGAAGCCAGTTTATTTCGGCACCTGTTTTATTTCAAGGTGTTGCTTCCCAAATGAAAGTTACAAATTTCAGCATAATTCTCTTGAGATTCAGTCTCCTTTCCTCTTTGAAAACCGATTGTGGAAGTAGTGGAAGTAAACCTCTTATAAAAAACGGCAATAATGTCAGTTTCCAGGTTTCTCAAGTCATTATACCCATCACAGTTCAGAGATGGTCCAGAGTATCGCAGGTAACACTTCCGCTTGTCGAGTTTTGTCTCTGTCTCTCTCAGGTAAAGTAACTCTCATGTTTAAGCGAGAACCTAATTTTAATCTTCATCTACCAAACATGAATGTCTCCAGAGGAACTTGTATTAGCATTTAATCTTCTTGGGACAGAGAGGCCATCTAGAGAGGTGAAAAGAAATACAGAAAGATGAATCAGACCCTCGACCTAGGTGAACGTGCTGGGGCCGTGGGTGTCATTGTGCTCGCGACATGAAAGGCATTGGAACGATATCAAAAAAGAGGTCCCATTTCTGTCCTACTGTAATATATTTCTGGAAACTCTGAAGATATCAGTCGTGTGAGTTCAGAGCTGTTTATGCACACCAACCAGGCAGACACCTCGGGCCTGCATGACAGAGACTCGTAGACGAAGAAAGAAGTTTTAAAATCTATAAGTTTCTATTTCACCAGAAGGTTAATACATAAGATAATAAGTAAACTATTGAACTAACATATCTGGAGTTTACCCCCAAAATATAAGTAACACACCCTCTACATTTTAATACTGTGTTGAATTAAATTTTCGATGTTCATTTTCTTTAGTTAATGTCTAAATGTATTTAATCCCATATTGTACATTTATATTTATGTTTACTGACAATTAATTGAAATCTAATTATATCGGGTTGCAATTAAATCAAGTTAAAGACGGGTCGTTGTTTTCGAATAATTTATCAGGTATGTAAAAAAAGGTTCAGATGCCGTAAAGTGAATCAAAGCCGAAGATAATTTTGTTTACTAAAATGTATACGCGTATGTATAGTTACTTTATTTACTTATCCCCTGGGACAAATTATGTAAAGCTCTACCCCTGGGGACAAATTATGTAAAGCTCTAACCCTGGGGACAAATTATGTAAAGCTCTACCCCTGGGGACAAATTATGTAAAGCTCTAACCCTGGGGACAAATTATGTAAAGCTCTAACCCTGGGGACAAATCATGTAAAGCTCTACCGCTGGGGACAAAGTAATATAGAGCTCTACCTCTGGGGACAAAGAATTATAGAGCTCTACACTGTCAACCCAAGAGACACAGTATATAAACCCTGGGAAAATTATCTCTTAAAACTCCCTTTATTTTCACTATTTAATCAAGCTCAAATGTCTAATGTCACGCATCTCATTTCCCTAATGTTTGGGATTAAAGCGAATTGTAAGAACTGAATAATGAGTAACACAGATATGAACCTCACATCTGTGTTTCCTGACAATAATAATCATTTATTTAATCGTCTATATCGTTAATAATCTTAGTTCATAAAGCTTCTGATCGCAACATAACTCCCCCCGTGCTTCCCCCTCCCTCCCCTCTCCGTGCCAGCATACCCATACCACAACCCCACCCCCCGGTGCCACTCCCACAACCCCCCAGGTGCCACTCCCCCGTACCACAACCCCACTCCTAAGGTGCCACTCTCCCCTGACCACAACCCCACCCCCGGTGCCACCCTCCCCCCATCGTGTTTTTCTTCTTTTTAAGTACAACATAAAAGCTTACCAGTTCTCGGATACTGTACCTGAAGTAGTACAGTAATCATATATACGGTACAGTGTATATTCCTCTTGACTGAGTAATATAGACAGTATCATGTTGGAAGTTACAAAATATGTGATGGGAACATGAGGTATGACCGTTCTTATTTCTCCCATTAGGCTAATTGTGACGACTTCCAGAATCCTCTAAACTTACAAAAGACAAAGTTGATGAAAGAATAATGGAACAGTTTGCAAGGTTTCCACAGACTGTCACCTGCCAGTCAAAAACAACACCAAATCGTTTCATCTGATCCTGTGATAGTTTATGAGACAGTGAATAATCTTGAAAAAATATGATTTTTTTTTTCATTTTCGAATAAAAGAAGAGAATGCAGCAGCAAGTCCCTTCATAATTCACTATCATAACCCTGACACAAAGGGT